ACAGCGACCACCACTTACCAAAATTGACCATTCTACACACAAACTCCCATCTCTTCCTCAAAACAAACTCCTGTTTGTGACCCTCGATGTATGAATACATGGACTAAAAAGAAAAAAAAAGATTGTTTTCGCCTGCGGGCTCTCTTATTCAATATACGTAATGGGCCTTGTGAGTCTTTATAATTGCACTTAGAAGGTACATGGCATGACACTTCAAGGGCCATTGTCACGAGATGACTCACGCCAGACACGCACTTCAATAGCTTAGGTTGAGTGTCGTGTGTAGGAGTGCATACTCTTTCATCTAAACTCAAACATAAAAAATTTTTTCGCAGCAGTATGCAGTTCGCCTCCTAATCATGAGACATCTCGTTCGGATCATGTCATAGCCTTACTAACAAGCGCTCAATTACAAGTGATGCCGCAGCCAGTGGCTCTGACGCAACCAAGCATGCCCCGCTGGCGTGCTCTGTGAATCCTATATCAAGAACAGGCCAATTCTTAAGGAGTCACTTGGATTAAACGCTTCACTCGAGGAATGGTTTCACGAAAGTTTGCGTCACTCCAGTTCAAGCGTACTTCAGAGTTCAGAATGACGTAACGTTCACCCACTACCTCATCAAACTTGTTGGCTCCCTCCGCATCCAGAGTTGGACGTCGCCTAACCGAGCGAATCTAAAATTAGCCACCATTGAACTGTTAAGTAGCGCGAACTTCAGGGACGAGAAACAAAGAAAGTGACACGCTTGCGTGTCACCTACTTTGTCTCTCGTCTCTGATTGATTGATATGTGGGGTTTAACGTCCCAAAACCACCAAATGATTATGAGAGACGCCGTAGTGGAGGGCTCCCGAAATTTTGACCACCTGGGGTTCCTTTAACGTGCACCCAAATCTGAGCACACGGGCCTACAAGATATCCGCCTCCAAAGGAAATGTAACCGCCGCAGCCGGGATTCGAACCCGCGACCTGCGGATCAGCAGCCGTGTACCTTAGCCGCTAGAAAGTCCTGCTGGAAAATTAAACGCCTATAAGGCTTTAGTACGACCTAAGATGGAGTATGCAGTTATCATTTGGAGCCCTTACCAACAATACTTAATAACTTAAATTGAAAGAGTACAAAATTCAGCTTTGCGCTTCATTTATTCTGTTTATTCGCGTCACTCGAGTGTAACCACTTTACGTAATAGGGCAAACCTTCAAACACTCGAGCAAGGCAGGGTCAGATCTAGATTAAAATTCCTCTATCAGCTTTACTACGGTCACTTCAATATGTCGCCGAAGCACTACGTTCAAGAGCCTTTCAAACGATCAGCGAGGATTCATCACGGTAAGACTATTAGGCAACCGATTAGCCACATTATTTTGCATAAGTTTTCTTTGTTTCCTCGAGCAATTTCTTATTGGAATATGTTACCTGATGAGACGGTCAACTCTGTGTCATTAGAGGTGTTTTTTCAGCGTACTTGTAATATAAGCTTTGGTTAAAATGTTTCAAAATTGGAAGACATTATCATTGTGTTCTTTTACCGTATGCATACCGTATCGTATGCTTACACGCGATTGTGTAAGCATATTTACGCCTCCCCTTATGTGTGTTGTACGTTTTAAAAATTACGTCATGCAACATTGATGTATTGTCAAGTTGTATGTCGAGTTTCTGTCAATGT